ATTTGTCATTTTCCTCTGTCTTGCAGATTGTTTTAAAATTCTCTCCCTCTTTAATTTAAATTATGCCCCCTGTGTTATTCCCATTCCTCATACTTCACTTTTTGTGGATTTCTGATTTCCAGGGTCTTATAACTTGGAGATGGTTGGGTTGAGTGAATGGGAGGGTGGACATTTAACATGTGTTTCGGGAAAAGGAGGTGGGAATATGGACTTGAATGTCCTTCAGATCTTTGCACTTATGCATCTGTTACCTCTATAACTTGGCCTTCATTGGAGAAGTTTTAGATGGTTTATTTCTGGAACAAGACCACATAAAGCCGTCTCACCTCGTCAGCCTGTGTTCTCTTCTGAGGTTTGGACCTTGTTTCAAATTCTGTCCAGAGTGGGCCTGGGGCCCCATCCCTTGCACTGGAAGTAATGGGACTATGACTGAGTGGTCAGCCTCTTTGGGTCAGCTGCCTTTCTAGTCATGCCCATTTAAGCTCTGCCAAAGTCTGCACAGACTGTTGGTTCTCCAGTCATTTTGTGCTATTCAGCCAAGTAAGTTGACTATAACATGGGATGCCTGAGGTCATAATGAAAGTAAATTTCCTAGGTTTATGGACTAGTGTGCTATGTAATAGGAGTTTGGGTCATAAAGAAAATAAGATGGATATATGGTAGGTGGAAAATTTTTACTTCTAAATTCTCTGCGTACCTTACAAAAAGGTCCTAAAGGGTAGAATCTAGAGTTTTCCGGGAAAAAAAGTTCTTAAAATGATTTCAAGCCTAGCTGTAAATCATTAGAAATAATGTGTGTGTATGCTGGAAATACAGTGTTCAGGAAGCTGAGTCCCTGGGCTAACCTTGGGGATTTTACAATCTAGAGGAGGCAGGACTTACCTAGATGAACTAGTTACAGTTACTAGGCAATGCTAGGGAAGTGGCAGGTAAGGAAGGAGGGGATGGGGCGGTCCCGATAGAGAAAACTGGAGATGGGATTTATTTGATTTGAAAACTGACTTGGCACACAGAATTACTAAGGGTATTGGCTCTCAAATCAGGCTTCCTCAGTTTGAATCCTGGTTCTGCCACTTAGCTGTGTGATCTTGGATATGTCAGGAATTCTACTTCAGTTTTTTTTTCAATCCATAAAATGGGGATGATAGCTAACATCTGCTGGTCCAGTGGCCTATGACATGTGCTAAGAGTTGTTAAAAGCGCTTTTAATGTATCAGTTTCATTTAATCTTCATTGCAACCCAAATGTATTAGGTACTTTTAAACCTATTTTATTAATTTATAAATTGAGACTGTAGGTTAAGTAACATTTCTTAAGATCACATGGCTAGAAAGCTGTAGATCAAGTTGAACCAGCTGTTTTGAGCCATCCAGGACTGTAATCATTATGGTACTACTACTTGGAAGAAACTGAAAATATGTAGCAAGTGTAGGGTCTCATATACAGTTAACTGCTCATTAAATGCTAGCCATCTCATGGAAATAAGGAGTTAGAACTTTCTGAGGAGACTGGGATGGCCTAGTGGGGCACACAGCTGAGCAAAGAACAATGTAGCTGTGGGTGCAGCACATGGGTAACAGTGAAGGAAGGGGATTTTTGTAATGAATGGTACCTAGGAGTGACATAGGCCACAGGACCACACCAGTCTTGGCCACCTCTAGTCTCAGACATTTTTGTGTCCTGGGATCAGATTCTCCTAGGTATGGAGAAGAAAAGTATGGGGCAGGGGACTTAAACGGACATTTAGGCAAGGCTTAGAGAGTAGCTGGCAGTGGGATTGGAGGCTTAGGAAGCTTGCTCACTGGCCTAGTGGCTCCCACTGAACATCCCTGAAGAATAGTCGTTTTTTTAATTTGAGCCCTTATTAGACCAGTAACTAATTTCTGGTTTAGGAGCCAGTTATTTATTAGGTATATAGATTTCATGCAGTCCTAAGGCTGTGATAGGGTTTGAAGTGAATACAAATTGCTTGTTCACATTTGAGTGGTTTTTCCAGACACCAATGTTATTTCCCCTCTGAATTTGGATTTGTTCCTCGTTTCCCTTTCAAGAGTCCAGGCTCTAGCCTCTTTCATCTCTTCTGAGACTATATTTATGCCTGGCTCTGACAGAACATCAACTTTTTAGATGACTTTGGACAAGTTGCTTTATCTTTTGGTTTAGAGGTATGATAACCTGATCAGAAGAATCACCAAAATGGCATCTGCAGTGTTCCAGATAAGGTTTAAAGCATCCCATTCTCTGTAATAGGGGTGGCAAGGTAAAGGATTTGGACCAGGTATCTTTAACTTTAAAACTTTTCATGGTTTTTAAGGGGCAAACATTAAGCTCCTTTAGTATTTGGTAAAATACAGTTGGGTAGATAAACATCAGCATGGAGATGAGAGCTACAAGTCTCCCTACCTAAAGCTTCATTTTGCAGCATTCGTCAAACTGGTAATTCTGATGATAGGTTACCCCCTGGCTTTTGGGGACCTGCTTTTTTTATGTTTGAGGGAGACTGTAAAGTGTACTAGGTGATAAAAGTGCTTGTTTTTAGTAATGTGTCCATGGTCTGAAGCTGATACTGACTGAAAATCCAAAGTCATCTCTCCTTTGGTTGTCAAAAAGTTAATGCAGGCATTCATTTATCTATTTGTTAACAAATATTTGAGTGCCTACCATGTGCCAGGTGCAGTTTTAACACAGGATGTAGTAGGCAACAAGTAAAGGTCCTTCCTTGCCCCTGTAGAACAAGTATTTGTTGGGGGCAGGGGATGGGAGGAAGTCAGAAAATGAATGAACAAATAGGATTTCAGGTGGTGGTAAGTATCTGGAAAAATAACTTGGGGTCATGGGATAGAGTTCCAAGGTAAGGCTGGAGTTGGAGGGATGTCTTTGGGTGGGGTGGCCAGTATGAATAAGCTTGGGGCAAAGAGGCCAGTGTGCTGGAGCTGTGTTGGGTGTGGGAGAATTGTTAAAAAGAGATTGGGAGATTTTGGCAAGAACCAGATTGGGTAGGGTGAGTGAAATTTCTTCCAGGTGCTGTGGGTTTTAATTTAAAAAGCAGGGGAATGATTTTAACGTGTTTACTCAGTTGGATGAGCTTGCAAAATGAAACAAATATAACTGGACCTAGGGGGCTTTCAGAAGGTAAATCAAGTAATTAGTTTGGGGTGTGGGCGGTGGTCTGCAAACTGGCCTGAGTTGTGATCCTGAGAAGATTTATATTCCCATTTTTCCCCCTTTGGACTTGGGAGAGATTCCTAGTTCATAGAGTTGAACTCATATGCTTTGGTATTTTGGAAGAAAGTTTATCTGCAGGGCTACTGGAACAAAAAATTTGGAAGATCAAACAGAAAGGAGCCGAAAAAATTTCTATACCAGACGCTTTTCCCTGTGCAGATTGAGTTGTGACCACCTCCTGAAGCAGGCCCCTCAAAAGGGTACGCTTGCAGCTGACTGACCTTCAGTTTGTATTCTTCATCACTGATCCTATGGCCTTTACTCAATCTCAGTGTCAGCATCAGGATCCACAATGAAAACGGACCAAGATTAGTGACTACTACATCTGTAAATGTTACATTTTGACATTTTTAGATTCTTACCCTTTCCCACCCTAGAATAAATTCTTGCCCAGTTTTTCACCATCTGATTTCTGAGTCATGTCAGGTTTTAAAATCCATTTCCATAACTTTGACTTCACCTTTCTCTTTATGATCCCCACCCCTTTTTGGGGGGCTGCTTTGAATGGTAGTATGTTCTACTTGTCATCTTCACTTCTGATGATCCCTCTCAAACAATTCACGGTTTTTACCATGTTTTAAGTTCTTCCATCCAGCGCCCTACCCCCTTTTAAACTCCCTCTTCAAAAGCTGCCTTGCAAAAAGGGTCATTGCTTGTTCATTGAATATGGGATTATGTGAAGAAGCCAAAGATGAGAAAAAGTGTGACAGGGGATCCGGACCCTCTGGAGAATGCTGTTTCGATTGTGTTTTG